TTGAAAAGTACTGAACCAAGCACTGACCTCTGCGGGACACCACTGCCCACTTCTTGCCAGGATGACACACATCCATTCACTACAACTTTCTGGGTCCTATCTTGCAGCCAGTTTCTCACCCAGCTGATTGTCTCAGAGTTAAGCCCACAATCCTCCAATTTTCTCATGAGGACATTGTGGGAAACTAGATCAAAGACCTTTTGGAAGTCTAGGTATACAATGTCAACCTGCTGTCTCGTGTCCAAGTGGTGAGTTACCTGGTCATAGAAGGAGATGAGGTTGGTAAGGCAAGACCTGCCCACAATGAAGCCATGCTGGCTGTCATTCAGAATCTTACCTTCTGCAAGCTTATCACAGATAGACTCCTGGATGAACTTTTCTAGGATTTTCCCTAGGATGGAAGTTAGGCTGATTGGCCTATACTTACCCGGGTCCTCCCTCCTGCCCTTGTGGATGGGCAAACATTGGCCCTCTTCCAGTCATCAGGACTTCTCCAGAGCACCACGAGTTGTGGAAGAGTTTTGCCAGGGGTTCCACAATGACTTCAGCCAGCTCCTTCAGCACTCTCGGATGAAGATCATCCAGTTCTGCTGACTTGTATACATCTAATTTTATTAATTGGTCATACACCAATTCTATGGCAATAGTAGGAAGGCAGTTATTCCTACTGTGCTCATCCTCTACTCTACCTGGCATGGTTTTCCCCTTGGTCCAGTGAAAGGACAAGGCAAAGTAGTCATTCAGAAGTTCAGCTTTTTCCTGGGTGCTGGTCACCAGCTCTCCTGAGTTGTTGAGCAATGGCCCTATTTGTTTTCCTCCTGTTCCCTATGTACCTAAAGAAGAAGTCCTCTTCTTGTTGTCCTTGATTCCCATTGCTAATGTAAGTTCAGTTGCCACTTTAACCTGTCTAATCTGTTCTCTGCAAATGCGGACCATCATGGAATAGTCCTCCTTGGGTTCTGCCCCAAGCTTCCATTGTTTATAAGCCTCTTTCTTCTTTCTAAAGAGGACCATGATTTCCCTGTTTAGACAAGAAAGCTTCCCACTCCCTGATCATTAGCAAAGTGAAGATTACAGCTAAGAAACTACATAGAGCAAAACCTAGGAGCAAGCCCACAATCAATACTACTAGCACCAAGAACCAGAGGAAGTGCCAAGAGTTTGTGAAAGCTTTTGAACTCAGCATGTTTGGGAAGTCACTACTAGAGAAGTCAGAGGAAATTTGGGAAGGTTTAAGAACTGCAATCTATGCAACAGCTAAAGCTACATTTGGGGAAAAGAGACCAATCAGTAAGGACTGGTTTAAAGAAAATGCAGAAGAACTCTATTACCTCTCATCAACATCCAGAACACAGCCTATCTGGAACAGAACAAGAAGCCAACAGTGAGCACCAAACAAGACTTTAACATGCAAAAAACAAGGTACAGAGAGTAACCAGACACTCTGCAAATCAGTACGGGACCAAGCTCTGCGATGAGATATAGGCAGCCTCAGACACAGGAAACCCTAAAAGTCATGTACGATAGTCTGAAGAAAGCTCTAGGCCCTACTGTCAACAAGGTTGCCCCTCTCAAATGGCTCAGCAGTGAAGCCATTACAGATAGAAACAAGCAGATGTCTTGTTGGGTTGAACACTACTCAAGCCTATAGTCACGAGAAAGGAACATCACCAGCAAATCACTGAATCAAATACCAACTCTACAGATCATGCTAGAGTTAGACATGGAGCCCACTGTAGAAGAGCTAAGCAAGGCCACTGATTCATTATCAAGTGGCAAGGCTCCTGGAGAAGAAGGTATCCCAATGGAAAGTCTCAAGTGCAGGAAAGAAAGCCTACTACTATATCTTCATCAGCTGTTACTCAAAGGCAGGAAAGAGGGTGAGGTACCAGAAGACATGCATGATGCAAACATCATCACTTTGTATAAAAATAAAGGAGATATAAGGGTGACTGCAACAACTACAGAGGTATCTCACTAAGCATAGCAGGAAAAGCTTTCACAAGGATCATTATGGTGTGCCTACAGCAGCTGGTGAGTCATGTCTACCCTGATTCTCAGTGTAGATTTAGGGCTGAAAGATCAACCATAGACGTGATATTTTTTCTGAGTCAACTTCAAGAAAGTGCAGAGAGCAAAACCAACCATTGGGCATCGCCTTTGTGGATATAACCAAAGTATTTGACACTGTCAGCAGAGCAGGCCTATTTGCAGTCCTAGAAAAGATAGGATGCCCACCAATCCTGTTAAGTCTTACATGTTTCTTCACAATAACTTGAAAGCAACTGTTCAGTTTGATGGGTCCACTTTGGACAACTTTGAAATGAAAAACAGAGTGAAGCAAGGATGTGTTCTCTTGCCCCTGCGCTCTTTGGAATCTTCTTCTTGGTACTCCTGAACTGCGCATTTAAAGATACAGAAGGTAGAACATAACTTCACACAGGCTCAGATGGAAAACTCTTCAACCTGTCACCACTCAAGGCCAAGATTAAAGTTAGAAAGATGCTTATCAGGAAGCTTCTATTTGCTGATGATGCTGCCTTATAGT